GCTCCTGCCCCCTGTTTCTAGATAAGCTCCTGCTTCTCTCCTGGGGAAATGACCCATCCAATCCCTTCTGTGGCTCTTCACACGGGTCCTGGCTGTGTCCTTGAGTATGCAGACCAGCTGGGTTGTTGGTCTGGTGCAAACTTCCCACATAGAAAGATTGTTCATTGTGGGTGCACTGACTGGGAGAGACTCCTAGTGTTTGGCCTCCATGGGGGATCCTGGTCCCTTCTCATGGGCATCTGCAGTGTTCCCAAGTGTTGGAGGAACAGACAAATCAACTGTGCAAGCCCTTCCCAAGTCTCCAACAGCCCACAGGCCCGAATTCATGCAGGGGAGCTACGCGCAGAGTCACTACCACGACCTTGGCCAGGGCTGCTGCTGGACATGGCCAGTTTGGGACAGGAGCAGGGGAGCTCAGAGTCCTGCAAACCCCTGGAGAGTCCAGGGGAGCGCGCCCGCCGCCTGCACAGAAGCCTCTTCCCCTGGAGCTCAGAGCCGCACTTGACATCGGGGCTCCCTTTTACATCATTGAATGGGGATCCCGCGGGTAGTCCTGTCCACATCCCCCTCCCCTGGAACTCAGAGCCTCTGACTCACACCCCCCCACCCCGTGGACAGAGCAGGTTCTGCGGTCCTCTCTCCAGCACACACCTAGGTCCTGCCTCCTACCTGGAGCTCAGGGGTCTGTCTGAGGTAGAAAGCCCCCAGCACCACGGAGACCCTGCCAGGTCTGCATGACTCTTGCACTCCTGGCACCTTCCCGGGAGCACAGCATCCCCTCTGACACAGCGGCCCCTGCGCCCGTGGACAATGGGCAGGGGTCCAGCCCGCACTGACTACTGGGCCTGCCCAGAACCACCTTAGTCAGCAGTGACATGCCACACACGATCTCGAATGGACATGTCTATTTATTAGAAAGCATGCATGTCTGCCACTGCCATATTATGTAAATCTGATGTTGGTCAGTGTGACTGGAAATCTTAATGGCTGAGTCGTATTCCACGATGCATGTGCCACGTTCTCCTTGTCCAGTCATCAGTCGATGGACATTTAGGTTCGGTCCATATCTCGGCTGTTGTGAATAGAGCTGCGACGAACACGGGAGGGCAGGTGTCCCCTCCACATGATGATGTCACCCTTTGTACAAATACCCAGCAGTGGGATTGCTGGATCATGTGGAAGGTTGACCTGTAGTTGTCTGAGGAACCTCCACTATGTTTCCCGTAGTGGCTGCACCAATTCACTGTCCCACCACCACTGCAGAACTGTCCCTTATCACTGCAGACTCTGCAGCATTTGTGGCTCTTGGTCTTTTTAACAAAAGAATGACATTCTGCCATTTCCAGCAACATGAATGAGTCTGGAGAAAATTGTTTTAATTGAAATGAGCAAGACAAGGAAAGACAAATATCACATGTTGTCACTGGTAACTGGGTGGAGGTAGGGAGGGAGAGAGAGAGAGGGAGGGAGGGAGAGAGAGAGAGAGAGAGAGAGAGAGAGAGAGAGAGAGAGAGAAGAAAAGAAGGGAAAGGCCAAAAGAATAAGGACACTAGAGATGGGGGAGGAAGGGAGGAGGTTGGGGAGAGACATGGTGGGAAAAGGGCATAAAGAAAAAAATATGATTTTTAATACCGGATATAATAATAATAATATTTAAACTAAAAAACAAATAAAATAAAACGAAGTTTATGGAGCTGAAAAAGATCTTTAAGAAAAAGAAACCTATTTTACCATCTCCTGCCAGGTGATGTCCCGCCTGCTGGCCACTGTCTAAAGATAAGCAGAGTGGAGGCCACTGTGCAGGTCACACACATCTTCTAGCCTTTCCTCCCACGGGGGCCTCTACTCCAACCATGAAAAATTCCATGACTCTGTCCCAAACACAGTGACACCGAATCCCTCTCTCCTGTTTTCAATGATTGTCCCCAGCCTAAACTAGGGTGCAGCCTCTTGTCAGGTATGACTGTGACCTAGGCTTGACCCAGAGAGGACGCTGCCAGGGACGAGGTCCCTCTCTTATATCAGTGCTGGGACATGACTGCTCATATTTCCCACTTTCAAAGATGGAGAACTGGGCAGTGGATCTATAGAGCCTCCTCCAGGACCTCACATCTGCTTAGAGGTACAGCAGGACCCAAGTCAGAGGCAGCAGAGGCCCTGACTCTGTGCACGTCCCTCCACTCCACATCCAAAGACAGTCTCGCATGGATGATACCGCAGCCCCCTGATTGACAGCCTGATGGTGGAACAAGGGAGAGCCTGACCGTTTCCTTGCATGCTCGAGCACTGCAGCCAAAACCCATCCACAGCCACAAGAGCTGAGTACAATATGCCAAGGCTGACTCTCATCATGAGGACAGGTTCAGCAGCTCCACACACCACCCAGCACCATCACCAGGAACTGGTGGCAGGCATCCAGCCTAGGCCTCTCATACCCCAGGACACACATGCAAATGACCCTGGGTGCTGGCAGATCAAAAACCCACCACAAGCTGGGCCAGTGTGGTGTTTTCATCCTGCAGGCACCATGCAGATCCTGTGGTTCCTTCTATGCCTGATGGCAGCTCCCCTAGGTGAGAGTCTTGGGGGGCTGCAGGTGTTTATGGGGGACTGGGTGTGGGATGGAACGAACAGACTCACCATGACTCTCCTTGTCTCCAGGTGTCCTGTCTGAGCTGACACTGCAGGAGTCGGGCCCAGGACTGGTGAAACCCTCGCAGACCCTGTCCCTCACCTGCACCATCTCTGGAGGCTCTGTCACAAGTGCTAGTTGGAACTGGATCCGCCAGCCCCCGGGGAAGAGCCTTGAGTGGATGGGATACATTAATTCTGCTGGCATCACAGGTTATAACCCGTCCCTCAAGAGCCGCACCTCCATCACCAGAGACACGTCCAAGAACCAGGTGTTCTTGCAGCTGACCTCTGTGACCGATGAGGACACGGGCGTGTATTACTGTGCGAGATACACAGTGACAGGAAGTCAGCGTGAGCCCAGACACAAACCTCCCTGCAGGATACAGGAGGGGTCAGGGCTGCAGGGGGCGCTCAAGGCCCACCCAGCTTGTGTGCCCCGTGGAGCAGGTGCAGAGAGGGGATGGGGGTTCCTCTTGGGATCTGAGGTTTCCTCTCCTCTGCTGACTCTCAGATGTCCCTCAGGGTCATTTCCTGCTTTGCTCCTTATGACTCTAATTTTTCACTGCAGGCAACACAGAGTGAAGTTAACTTTCCTCGTGTGCAGATGAGATGTTTCCATTTACTGGGACCGTTCTTTTCTCTAAAGATCCTTATCTTCCACTAATCAAGAACTTTTTTCCTAAATGTTAACTCAGTCCAGGTGCCCACTGTCCCTACGTGGGTCTTTCCCCTCAGTGATGCACACGTGTCCCCACCTGGCTATCATCATCATCCAGGGCCTCTGCCCATGGGTCCCTGCTCTGCCTGGAGCAGTTTCACCTCTGGATCCTCATCCATAATGTGGACACTGATGTTCAGGATTTGTCCCACTCTCTGTCCAACCCCCAGTGTCCGGGACAGAAAATCAGCTGCCTGAGGGACAGACACAGCTCTTGTACTTGCATGTGGAGGACTCAGGGGGACAAGCACAGAGATAAACACCCATCACAGCCCTGCTGAACTGAATTTTGTGTCAGGTCTCTCAAGGTACCCTTAGGAACTGTGTTCTAAGATTTGTGTCTCTGCTCCCATGGGGAGAATCATTTGAGAGAGCTCCACAACCTATCCAGTAGACACTAGGGAACTTGGGAGAATCCATTTGGATAACAACAACCAGCCGGTAAGAGCCCTGACCCTGCCTACCCTCTGCTTGCCCCAAGTGTCCTACAGACACTCCCTTAAAGTCACCCTCTGTCTTCTGTTGTGTAAATTCTCACTAGATCTGTCCCTACACACTCAGCTGCATGGGGGTAGAGCCCTGCTCGGT